ACTCTAGAGGATCCCCCCTGTTCGGGGCTCGGCTGTCACCCTGGCACCTGTACAAACCCGTGGCTTGTAGCCTGACATGTCCACTTACCTGCTGCAGCCCGCTGCCTGACGCCAGCGCCATCCCTGGCTGCAGCAGCTGCATTGCCCCCGGCCGCCCATCCTGTTCCCCTGCTTCGGCGCCTTCGGCAGCCATGGCGGTTTCCACCTCAGCTGTGGCGGCACCCATCTCCGTGTTGGGCTGGATGGGCAGGGCTAGTAATAGGAACCAAAGGGGATAACTGAGTTGTGTTCAGCCCACAAAGATTAGCTGGGAACAAGGCGCTAACTCCACACAACGCAAGATTGCCTGATAACTGTGCAAGCAAGCACAAGTCAGAACGTCGTTTGTTGGGGAATAGGGACGTCAAAAAAAACAATATACAATACATTTGGACCCAGTTTAATAAGGAAGGAAATCAGAGAACACAGCATTACTGGCACATCGGGCGTCAGTAACAGCAAAGAGATGGCCGAGCGGGATGAAGTGCACGGTGGAGTCGGAGGAGGTCCGGAGGAGAACGAAGTAATGGCTATGACGAAGGCGATAAGAATGGCACGCGACGGAAACACCCAGAAGGGGACGATGCGGTGATCAACGGACTCCGCGCCTTATCCCGCATTGTCTGAAAGCAGGTGCAGCCAGCTGCAACTAGGCCTACCCAGTTGTGTGTAAGAGGGAAAGGGGTGTCCCTAAACCGGCCACAAAGGGTTGGCAACTATGCATGTTTTGCTGGGGAATGGGGTGATCCGGCTACGAGGGGACGGCGCCGCAGTGGAGAGGTCATTGCTTCGAGGTTTAGCTCAGCATGGTTTATTACCACCGCGGGTTACTGCCAGGTGACCAGCTGGAGCCCACTGAAGTGCCCGGACCGCCTTGCGCTCATCGGGTAGCAACTAGACTCAGGAAGTCTGCCCAATAACGAGTGCCCACGGCCGGTAGGCTTTACCCGGGTGATGCTCTCAGGGAGAGAAACGCCTGCATTGCGTTGTGCTGATCCGAAAGGCCAGCCCCAGGGGGGGCGTGGTAAAGCACCCAGGCTGAGTGGCCTTGGGCCGGTAGGCTTAGATGCGTTTAGCTGGAAGGCCAGCACCAGGGCTGGGTTGCCTTAGGCCAGTAGCTTGTGTTGAGTTTATCCGCAAGGCCAGCCCCAGCAGGTTTTTGCTCTCGCGCAGTGAAGCACCCAGGCTGAGCTGCCTTGGGCAGGTAGGTTGTGTTGAGTTTATCCGCAAGGCCAGCCCCAGCGGTTTTTGCTCTCGGGCAGCGAAGCACCCAGGGGAGCTGCCTTGGGCAGGTAGTTTGTGTTGCGTTTATCCGCAAGGCCAGCCCCGCAGGTTTTTGCTCTCGGCAGTGAAGCACCCAGGCGGAGCTGCCTTGGGCCAGGTAGTTTGTGTTGGTTTATCCGCAAGGCCAGCCCCAGCAGGTTTTTGCTCTCGCACAGTGAAGCACCCAGGCGGAGTTGCCTTGGGCAGGTAGGTTGTGTTGCGTTTATCCGCAAGGCCAGCACCCGCAGGTTTTTGCTCTCGGGCAGCGAAGCACCCAGGCGGAGCTGCCTTGGGCAGGTAGTTTGTGTTGCGTTTATCCGCAAGGCCAGCCCCGCAGGTTTTTGCTCTCGTGCAGTGAAGCACCCAGGCGGAGCTGCCTTGGGCCAGGTAGTTTGTGTTGCGTTTATCCGCAAGGCCAGCCCCAGCAGGTTTTTGCTCTCGCGCAGTGAAGCACCCAGGTGGAGCTGCCTTGGGCAGGTAGTTTGTGTTGCGTTTATCCGCAAGGCCAGCACCCGCAGGTTTTTGCTCTCGGGCAGTGAAGCACCCAGGCGGAGCTGCCTTGGGCAGGTAGTTTGTGTTGCGTTTATCCGCAAGGCCAGCCCCAGGGGGTTTTGCTCTCGGGCAGTGAAGCACCCAGGCGGAGCTGCCTTGGGCAGGTAGTTTGTGTTGCGTTTATCCGCAAGGCCAGCACCAGCAGGTTTTTGCTCTCGCACAGTGAAGCACCCAGGCGGAGCTGCCTTGGGCAGGTAGTTTGTGTTGCGTTTATCCGCAAGGCCAGCACCCGCAGGTTTTGCTCTCGCGCAGTGAAGCACCCAGGCGGAGTTGCCTTGGGCAGGTAGGTTGTGTTGCGTTTATCCGCAAGGCCAGCCCCAGGGGGTTTTTGCTCTCGTGCAGTGAAGCACCCAGGTGGAGCTGCCTTGGGCAGGTAGTTTGTGTTGCGTTTATCTGCAAGGCCAGCACCCGCAGGTTTTTGCACTCGGGCAGTGAAGCACCCAGGCGGAGCTGCCTTGGGCCAGTAGTTTGTGTTACGTTTATCCGCAAGGCCAGCCCAGCAGGGTTTTGCTCTCGCGCAGCGAAGCACCCAGGCTGAGTTGATTTGGGTTGGTAGGTTGTGTTGCGTTTATCCGCAAGGCCAGCACCAGCAAGGTTTTGCTCTCGCACAGTGAAGCACCCAGGCGGAGCTGCCTTGGGCAGGTAGGTTATGTTGGGTTTATCCGCAAGGCCAGCCCCGCAGGTTTTTGCTCTCGGGCAGCGAAGCACCCAGGCGGAGCTGCCTTGGGCCGGTAGTTTGTGTTACGTTTATCCGCAAGGCCAGCCCCAGCGGGTATTTGCTCTTGTGCAGCGAAGCACCCAGGCGGAGTTGCCTTGGGCAGGTAGGTTGTGTTGAGT